CCAGCAATGGTGAGAAACAGGGCACTGGGCAAGGAACTACCGCTCGAGTAGGAGAAGCGGGAGAAGGAGGAAAGGGAAGACGAGGAGGAGGGGGACGAGGAAGAAGAGGAACTCCCTGCCGATCCCTGGGGTCCTTGTAGAGCCTCGGGTCGCCAGACACCCGCGACCTCAGGGCTCGGGGGAATCCCGCAAGTCGCTGGGGGACAACCCGATGCCCGCCGCCGCCCCCCTCCTCCTCATCCTTCTCTTCCTTCGTTTTCTCCTCCTCCTCCTCCTCCTCCTCCTCCATCTCATCATCATCATCATCATCATCATCATCATCATCATCATCATCATCATCATCATCATCATCATCACCACCACCATCATCATCATCATCATCATCAGCAGCGGCTTCATCAGCAGCATGAGCATCATCAGCATCATCATCATCATCAGCATCACCATCATCATCAGTATCATTATCAGCATCATCCTTCTCATCTTCATCACCATCATCAACAGCACCATTGTCATCGGCATCATCATCACCATCATTGTCGTCAATATCATCATCACCATCCGCATCATCATCATCATCATCATCATCATCATCATCATCATCATCATTATCATCATCAGTAACGGTCTCATCACCATCCACATCATTATCAACGTCACGACCATGGTCATCTCAATCATCATCTTCACAATCAGCAGCAGTATCATTACAACCTTCATCCCCATCATATTCAAGCCCAGCATCATCATCATACTCATCGTCATCACCAGCATCGTCATCATCATCGACAACAGCACCATCATGCGTATCACCATCAACATCGTCAGTATCGTCACCCTCGTCGTCATCATCGCCAGCAGCTTCATCATCATCATTGACGTCATCACCACCATCACCATCAGCATCATCTTCACCATCATCATCATCATCATCATCATCATCATCATCGTCGTCGTCATCGTCGTCATCGTCATGATCATCATCAGCATCAACGGCAACACCATGATCAGTCATCACAACCACCAAGAACATCAGCATCATCATCATCATCATCAACACCAGCACCAGCATCGTCAGCATCATGATGAGCAGCATCATCATCGACATAAGCATCATCATTGTCGTCGTCATCATCATCACCATCATCAACAACAGCATCATCACCTTAAAACCACCACCACCATTAACATCAGCAACCACTTAATCAGCATCATCGTCGTCAGCATCATCATCACCATCAGCATCATCATCATCTGAATCATCACCACCATCAGTATCGCCAGCGTGATCGTCATCATCACCGCTATGTAAGCATCATCGCTGTCGTCATCATCATCATGGTCAGCATCATCATAATCAACATCATCACTACGACCATCAGCATCATCATCACCATCATCAACATCATCATCAACATCATCAACACCATCTTCCTTCTGCTCTGAGCTTCTCAACTGCTTTCTTTCCCTCCCACAATTTCCCGGTATCCTCCTTCTTCCGTCTCTCCTGCTCTTCCTGCTCCTTCTCTCCTAAATATCCTCTTGCTCCGTGCCCCGATGTCCTTCACCCCTCGCTTCTCCTTCTCCTCATGCTCCGCTCCTCCGTTTTGACAAACCACCCAGGTGCATGCCGTCACCCCATATCATTTCATAACCGATCACCGTTCTACCATCATATCATTCCATCGAATATCAGATCATACCATACCATAGCAGATCATGCCATACGATATCAGAGCATGTAGCCGAGTGTCCGATCAAATCATATCATACAATACCGCATTACATCATACGATATCCGAACACTATCATCATATCAATGGTTCCTCCGCTTTTCCTCCTCATCCTCCTCGCCTATTCCTTGACATACTCGTTCTCCCTCGCGGACGGAAGAAAGAGGAGGGTGGGGAGGCGGAGGAATGTCAGGATATGGTGATGATGATGATGATGATGATGATGATGATGATGATGATGATGGTGATGATAAGGAGGAGGAAACGGAGGAGGAGAGCCAAGACATGACGAGACGAAACGAGACGGCCCGTGATAATATAAAAACTGGGCTAGCAACGATGAGGAGGGACGAGGGGAAAAGGAGAGAGGACGAGAGGATAAAAGGGGATAAAAGGAGAGGGAAGAGAGAGGAAATGATAAACTAGGTGAGCTCGCGCCACATCTGACACCCGAACCCCTCCCACCCATCCCTTCCCAGTGCACTGATGGTTTCTGGACCCGCTGACGCGTGCCATGTCGAAGCTGGAACTCCAAAACAAACCCATCGTGTTAAGCGAAATCGGACGAGAACCTGCACAGGTAGGAGGACGGGGGCGGAAGGAATCGGACCCAGAAAATTGGCCCGCGCTTGGGCGAAACTGTCATTCTGGACCACGGAAGGGGGTGTGGGGGAGGAGGGGGGGTGGGGGGGGGGGGGGGGGGGGGGGGGGGGGGGGGGGGGGGGGGGGGGGGGGGGGGGGGGGGGGGGGGGGGGGGGGGGGGGGGGGTTGGAGGGGGGGGGGGGGGGGGGGGTGGGGGGGGGGGGGGGGGGGGGGGGGGGGGGTGGGGGGGGGGGGGGGGGGGGTGGGGGGGGGCAAAGCGCCGCGAGGGGGGGCAAAGCGCCGATCCTAAAATGAGGCCCATGCTGCAGCGGGAGCGCCAGTTGGGAGCACGAGAATGCCCCGATTCGGAAACAGCACATAGGAAGCACCAGCTCTGACCAACGCTATGTAATACAAATGCAATGCGTGGAGGCGGGCGCGCCACTCTCAAAACCACCTCGGTGGGCTGAAGAGTGGTACTCGTACTGCGTAACTACCAAGCTAAATAGAGGCGCGCTCGCACCATCTATTTCGCCAGCGGGTGTTACTGCGGACCTGGGGCTCCCAAAATGGCCCCATCGTGTCATGCGCAATCAGGGAGGAGAGCTGTGCACATTGAAAGAGGAAGAGGAGGAAAAGGAGGAGGAGGAGGAGGAGAAAGAGGAGGAGGAGGAGGAGGAGGAGGAGGAGGAGGAGCAGGAGGAGGGAAGAGGAGGAGGAGGAGGAGGAAGAGGAGGAAAAAGAGGAGGAGGAGGAAGAAGAGGAGGAGGAGGAAGAAGAGGAGGAGGAAGGAGGAGGAGGAGGACGACGACGAAGATGCCGAGGAGGAGGAGGAAGAAGAGCAAGAGGATAGGAGGACCCAAAAAAATGACCGCGCTGGGGCGGGAATGCCACTGAACAACAGGAGCGCAAACGAGGCCAATGCTGCAGCGGGGGCATCATTTTGAAACACACCAGAAAAAAAAACAAACAAACAATATTAGCCTGGCGAAAGACCCAACCATACGCAGTTGCGACTATCGCAAATGTGAACATCGTCTCCGGCGGCGCCCCCAATGGGGCCACAAACCGCATGAGGGGCACGCCGAACTGCGCAGCGGGGCGCACAACGCGAACGACGACGATAGGTCTGAGCACGAGAGACTGAGAGCGGGTGAATCCGAGCGCGAACGAGTCTGACTGTGAATGAGTCTGCGTGCAAGTGAGTTAGTCTATTTGCATGAATGCGAGCACGGCTGCGCCCCATGTGGCTGTATACGAACGTCAAAGGTTTGGGCACGCCTGGCTCGAAGCACTCGCGGCGCCAAACGCGGCTGCCACCGGGGGCCCCCCAGGAAAACCCCGATCGCAGCGCCCGCGCGCCGCGACGCCCATGTCGGCGCGCCCCTCGCGAGGATCGCGCCCGCCCCCCCCTGCTTTTCCCCCTCTTTGCCCCTGCGCTCCGCGGCCCAAGGCTGCGAGCTGAGCGCGGCGCGGAACCCCCGCGACGCGCGCCAGTTGCCCCGAAGGGGTCCCAGCGACGCGCGCGAATCATCCGCTGCGCGGTGCAGAGAGAGCTAGCTGGCTGGCTGATGGCGGGCAAGGATCCGGCCGCCGGGCAGAGCGACGACGGGCGAGCGAGGCGCTGGGCAAAGCGAGGCGCGGAGTTCCCGCGACGCGCGCCGTTCGCACCAAGAGGGCCCCAGCGACGCGCGCAGGTCGTCCGCGGTGCGGAACAAAGATGGCTAGCTGGCTGGCTGACGGCGGGCAAGAATCTGGCCGCTGGGCAGAGCCGTCGGTTCGGCCGTAGACTCCACTCCCTGGGAGCGCCATTCCCTCGCCCCGTCGCCTTCTCGCACGGCGCGCCCCTGGCACGCCGCCGCGGTGATGGCCCTGCCGCGGGGGGAGGGTGGCACGATGACTGCCGGCAACGCCAGGGCGGCAGTCGCCAGCAGTCGTCGTCGCTCGTCGATTAGCCGTCGGCCGTCGGTCGTCGTCGGTCGTCTTCCGTCGTCGTCGTCGTCGGTCGTCGCCGTCACCGTCGTCGCCGCGTCGTAGACGTGGCGCCAGAAGGTGACTTTTACGGCGGACGTCCGCGGCGTCGTCGTCGCCGTCGCCGTCGCCGTCGCCGTCGCCGTCGCCGTCGTTGTCGTCGTCGTCGTCGGTTAGCCGTCGGCCGTCGGTCGTCGTCGAGCGTCTTCCGTCGTCGTCGTCGTCGGTCGTCGCCGTCACCGTCGTCGCCGCGTCGTAGACGTGGCGCCAGAAAGTGACTCTTACGGCGGACGTCCGCGGCGTAGTCGTCGTCGCCGTCGCCGTCGCCGTCGCCGTCGCCGTCGTTGTCGTCTTCGCCGTCGTCGCCGTCGCCGTCGCCGTCGTCGTCGCCGACGCCCTCCTCCTCCTCTCCTCCTCCTTCCGCCATCCTCCTCCTCCTCTTGTCTCCCTCCTCCTCCTCCTCCTCCTCCTCCTCCTCCTCCTCCTCGTCCCCCTCCTCCTCCTCCTCCTCCTCTTCCTCCTCCTCCTCCTCCTCCTCCTCCTCCTCCTCCTCCTTCTGGATGACCGACGTTGGCTCAAAGTCGGCCCCCGGGCCCCTCCCAGGGCCCACCCGTTGCAGCTTCTCTACCCCGGATCAATCACTGACGACCCTGGGGCCCGAAGACGGCCCCCAGAGGCCGAGAAGGACGAAACACCTCGTCGAACCTCGAAGTTCGAAGTTCAGCGACAAAATCGCAGGGGGGGTCCACCCGACGTCGTCGCTGGTTGACGCGCGCAGACACGGGCGCGATCGCGCAGGTCGCGCACGCGCATGCGCCCGTGCACCCGCAGCAACGAGCAAACGACGAGCCACCGTCCAACGACGAGCAACGACGAGCCACGATGGACAGCGGCGACGAGCGAGGCGACGCGAAGAGCGACGACCGTGCACTGCGTCCCCGCTATAACACTTTTCACAATCCTCTACCTCTCCTCCTCCTCCTCCCTCCTCCTCCTCCTCCTCCTCCTCCTCCTCCTCCTCCTCCTCCTCCTCCTCCTCCCCCTCCTTCTCCTCCTCCTCCTCCTCTCCTCGACCTCCTCCTCCTCCTCCTCCTCCTCCTCCTCCTCCTCCTCCTCCTCCTCCTCCTCCTCCTCCTCCTCCCAGCCCCACCCACCCCATCACCGACAAGACCCCCGCGCCAACCGCGCGCGCGGAACGCGGACGCTCCTGGGGGCGCGGCAGCCGCAGGGCGTAGCCACCACCGACATCCTCCTGGCCCACCTGGCGAACACCCGGGGGGGCGGGAGGGAGGAAAAGAGCGAGGAGGGGAATGAGGAGGAGGAGCAAGAGAAGGAAGAGAAGGAGGAGGAAGAAGAAGACCAATGCAAACCCGAGACCCATCAACAGTGTTGGAATACGCTCTCCCTCCAAACTCCCTCATCATAGGCCCATACAAAGATTCGTTTCCTCCAAAAAGACTTCCCCGTTGGTGGGACAACCGTGTGAAAATCGGGATGCGTGCCAAAACACCATTCCCACGACTTCAACGCCACGAATCAACAGAACTGTTGCGTATTGACGATCCTGAACCGCGCCAGAGCACCATTCCTGTAACTTCAGTACCGCGAATCTGCATGGCTGCTGCGTCCTGACAATCCTGAAGCGCTCCACAACACCGTTTCTGGTGCATGAGAACCGATAAACTCCCGCAAATGGTTAACAACGAATGTCCGCGGCGCTAAAGCGAAAATCACATGTTGAAAAAGAACCGCCCTCAACCCGTGAACTTCTTGCAAATTCTGAACACGAATGTGCGCAAACTCGAAAGACGAAAATGGACCCTGAATCCGTAAAGTTTTTTCGAATTTTCAAAACGAATGTGCACGGCATTAAAGCAAGACCCACATGTTGAAGAGGAACAACCCTCAATCCGTGAAGCTCTTGCACATCTTGAAAACAGCGCTAGAGCCGTAACCAAAGTTTGAAAAGGAACCTCCCTTGATCCGTGAAGCTCTTTCAATTGTTTGAAGGGATTATGCGCAGCGTTAAGGTGATAACCAAATTTTGACAGGGAGCCGCCCTCAATCCGCAAAACTCTTCGAGAAGTTAAAACTAATGTGCGCGGCGCGAAGGCGAGAGCCATATCTTGACAAGGAACCGCCCTCAATCCGTGCGGTGTTCCAAATGAGTTGTAGATGGCATGCCCCGTGCCAGACGCGGCGTTGTAGGCGTGCGACTCAATCACCATGTACGAAGGCCTCGATACAAATACGATATTCCAGGTCGTCGCCGTTGAAGACTGCGACGCGAGGCGCAGCAGGTGCGGCAGCGGGCGCAGGAGGTGGATTAGTGGAGGTTTCTGTCCAACTCTGCGCGGATCGTCGTCGCTGCTCGTCCTGTTGTCGTAAGAGCTCTAATGCAAGATGAGTGCTGTGGGGCATTGTTGAGCTCGTCGCAGCGCCATCATTGCGCGCAATGGAGGGCGGTGCCTACTCCGCTTTCGGATCGGCCGCCGCTTGACATCCCGGTGTCTCGGCCGGCGAACCACACGACTACACTCCCAAATGGCTGGCTCACGTCGACGGGGGCCGCGCTGGTTGAGTAGAGCCAGAAAATCTACTGCCCTCGCCTCTGGTGGAATGGGCGCGCCGACGTTGGGACAGCAGTCAAGACGCTGCCAGTGCGGCTGGCGAGAGAGCCCACTGCGCGACGCCCCCGCAACGACTCCACACTCCCCAGGAGGATTCAGACGCCACCATGGCGACCGAAATTAAACCCGAACGCACAGGGATGGGCGGGCGGGCTTTAAGTGCCTCGCCTGTCCCAGCCCAAACCGCGAGGCCAGAGCAGGGCCCCAACTTGGGAGGGAAACCTGAAACCCTGCCCCCGCGCCGGGCGGAAGCCATTGCAGAACGGGCCCCCTTAGGGCCACTTCGAGCCCGATACCTGCTGCCCATTTCCTGTCCCTTGCGCATAGTCTGAGTCGTCCTGTACAGCTGGCGCGCATTCTGGCCTGTCCTCTACCACTGCAATCGGCACTGGATCCAGCGCAGCCTTGCAAGATGTGGCTGCACTAGACGAGGCTACATATGATGTGGTTTGAGCGTGTCTACGTAAAGGTATTTTCCTGCTCAACGAGCATCCAACCGATGCGCATGCAGAAGTGATGCGGCTGACCATGCCGATTTCTCCAACTGGCTTTTTGATCGTCGACGTCGCTAATGATAGGTGGCGTTGGCGAGTTGGCCCTGCCCGTGTCACTGGAATTGTCCTTTATGTTGCGACAATTGTCAAAACACAAGGTAATATTGCCTGCAGCGTGAGAAGGTGCCAGCTCGTTCTTTTCAGTGTCCACACCTTCGCCTGCAGTGACTCGAGGCGCAGGGGCGAGGGGCACTGCCTTGAAATCGACGGTAAAGGTAAAGGTCATGAAGTTGGAAGCTGCAGGTTTGAAATCGCTGCCTGAGGTACAGTAGTTGGCGCATCTCTGTTCAGCTGCCTTGGGAATGTAAAGCCTGCATCGCCTGGAGCCATGTTATTCACTGCGCCGCTCCAATCGTTACCGAACTGTTTGGAAGTGTGTGGAGAAACATGTTTGGCATGTGGGTTTTGACTTTTGCGGCCAACATCGATACAATAAAGTACTTGCCCCTGATCATTGAAAGAAATTTGAGTGCGATGAACTCGTACTGAATATTCCAACCTTTTTGCAAGCTCTGCCACGTGCCATATTTTGTGAACGAGTGTTGAGCCACAGCGGACAAGCATAAGTGTAAGAAACCGTAGCCATGTCCATCGAGCCTCCGCGCGCGCGCGGGGATGATCTCGGGGGTCGCGGGCGGTCGACTGTTGGCTGGCTGCCGCGCCTGTCCACTGTCCCTCGCCTGCATCGCTCGGGCGGGTAGTGGTTTCCTCCTCCTCCTCCTACTCCTACTCCTCCTCCTCCTCCTCCTCCTCCTCCTCCTCCTCCCCCTCATCCTCCTCCTCCTCCTCCTCCTCCTTCTCGTCCTCCTCCTCCTCCACCTCCTCCTCCTTCTCCTCCGCCTCCTTCTCCGCCTCCTCCTCCTCGCTCCTCGCTCCTCCTCCTCATCCTTTTTCTGCTGAGCCAATTGTTACTATTTGTGTTCCATGAGGTACTCGTTCGAGGTATCGGCGGCTTGGGGTTCACTTCACGCCTCGCGTGCAGCCGGGGCTTCCGGGTCGCATGTCTTCGGGCGCCATTTATTTTTCTGTTTTACGTCCTCTGGTTCGTCGCCTGCGACAAGGAGCTCAGGGGGCGGCTCGGAGGTACGCGATCGCACACCACTGTTCTCACTCACTCACTCGCTCACCCACTCACGCACGCACGCACGCTCGCACGCACGCACGCACTCACTCACTCCTCGCTCCTCGCTCCTCGCTCCTCCTTCTCTTATTCCTCCTCCTCCTTCTTCTCCTCCTCCTCCTCCTACTCTCCTCTTCCTTGTCATAACTCATCCGTGTCATACTTCGATGCCAGTCGGACGGGCGGGCCGGGCGTTTCGCCTGAGACTTCCGTACCACTTAGGATTCTGAAGCTTGAGAATTAGCAACGGCTTCAGAGATAGAGGGCGGGGGGGTCCAAGCTGTGGCGCTCGCCTTAGCGCCACGCACATTCGTTTTGATCATGTGCAAAGAGCTTCACGGATTGAGGGCGGGTCGTTTTCGATATGTGGCTCTCGCCTCAGCGCTGCGCGCAATCGTCCTAAGCAATTGCAGGAGCTTGACGGATTGAGGGCGGGTCGTTTTCAAAATGTGGTTCTCGCCTTAGCGCCGCGGAGTCGCCTTAAAACATTGCAAGAGCTTCACCGATTGAAGGCGGTGCAAGAGCTTCACCGATTGAAGGCGGCTCCTGAGCATAATGTGGATCTCGACTTAGCGCCGCACACAATCGTCTGAAAACCTGCCAGCGTTTCAAGGGTTCTCATGGTTAGCGTGCCAGAAAGGGTGCTTTGGAACAGTTGGGGATTGTCAGGGCGCGTTGATTCGCGGCGTCGACGTCCCAGAAATTGTGTTGTGGCACGGTTCAGGACCGTCAAGGCGCAACAGTCAGGTTGACCCGTGGCGTTGGATTCCCGAGAATGCTGGTTTGGCACGCTTCATGATCTTCAAACGGTTGTCTCCCAACGAGGCACTTCTCTCAGTAGAACTAATCCTCGTAAGGGCCTGCGACGAGGGAGCTTGGAAGGAGGGTGTATTCCAACATCGTTGATGAGTCTTGGGTTTACAGTGGTCCTCTTCCTCCTCCTGCACCTCGCTCTCCTGCCTTTTCCTCTTCTTCTTCTTTGTATTATGATGAAGCGTGTTATCACTTGGGAGCTAAATTATCCTAGAGCGACCCTACCTAAGAGTTTGGGCCCCTAGGAGAGCAATATTAGTAGTAACGGTAAACGCCGTCCTCCTCCTTCTCCTCATCGTTGCAGTTGTAGCAGTAGCGGTAGTAGTAGTAGTAGTAGTAGTAGTAGTAGTAGTAGTAGTAGTAGTAGTAGTAGTAGTAGTAGTAGTAGTCGTAGTAGTAGTAGTAGTAGTAGTAGTAGTAGTAGTAGTAGTGATATGCTATGCTATGCTTTGCTATGCTGCGCTAGGCTGCGCCATGCTGCGCTATGCTATGATATGCTAGGGTACGCTCGGCTGCGCTGTGGTATGTTAGGCAATGTTATGCTTGCGATGCTGCGCTATGCTATGCTGTGCTATGCCATGCTGCGCTATGATATGCTATGATATGCTGCGCTATGCTATGCTATGCTAGGCTATGCTGTGGTATGCTATGATGCGCTATGCTATGATATGATATGCTATGATATGCAGCGCTATGCTATGATAAGATATGATATGATATGATATGATGTGCTTTGTTATGCTATGCTGCGTTGTGCTATGCTAAGCAATGCTATGCTATGACATGCTATGCGATGCTATGCGGTGCTATGCTATGCTAGACTGCGCTGTGCTATGCTGACCAATGCTATACTATGCTATGATATGCTACGCTATGCTATGCTGCGCTATGCTATGTTATGTTATGCTATGCTATGCTATGCTGTGCTGGGCTATGCTATGTTATGCTATGCTATGATTGGCGATGCTATGCTATGCTATACTGTGCTAACGCTGCGCTGCGCTATGCTGCGCTGCGCTAAGCTAAGCTAAGGTAAGCTAAGCTATGCTAAGCTAAGCTAAGCTGCGGTAAGCTAAGCTAGGCTAAGATAAGCTAAGCTATGCTAAGCTAAGCTAAGCTAGGCTAGGCTAAGCTAAGCCAAAGC